TGACGCACGCCCATTATGACGTCAAGGCTTGCTGTTCCGTGAAACGGCCTTTCCCCCGCCACTCGCCCGAAACGGGGGGGGCGGTGTTTTTCTGCCATTATAAATTCTAAGAGAATTGGCGGCGGGGGATAGTAGATATAGCAGCCTCCGTGACGTCATCCGCTTCTCTTTCATTAATAGGCGCTGTAAGGGAAGTGAGTCCGACCCGGGAAAAGGCTGGTTTCGAAGTGGTTTTGAAAAGCGGGCCGCTGTTCTGGTCGCCTCGGCTTATTTTCTCTACTGTTTCAACCCGTAGCTTTGCTCCTGCCTGCCGGCTCCTTCGGTGGGTGGCCCTCACGGTGAGTTCCTCAGGTGGCCACTAGGGGGAAGTAGTAGGCGCCTTTTGAGCGGCGGTGCTCTGGCTGCGAGCAGGAGCTCAGTCTCGGCGCGGGTAAGTCCTCGAGTCAGGGGAGGCTGACAGTGTCGTCTTGGGACCCTTTTAGGCTGGTCCTAAAAAAAAAAAAACACACGTGGAACTACCTAGATGATTTATTTATTTATTATATTGCTTTCTGTGTTACCTTTCTATCCTGTCTGTCCTCCGTTGACCTCGAGGTTGCACATATCGCTTTCTCCCTCTTGTCTCCTGTAATTCTAAAACTGTTTATTGTTTGGATTCATTGATTCTCGATTGCCCAGAATAGTGCTTTGCACTAATGGGTGAGTATAAAATTTAAGCAATAAAGAAATGTCCTCACAACCTTCTTGTGTGGTAGGCCACACAGAGAGAACACTTGGCCCAAGATGTCCCAGTAAGTTTCATGGTTCTCTAGAAACTAGAACCAAGGCCCCTGGTCCCAGCCCAGTATCTTCACTACTATCTCTCTCTCACCCACACCCACACCCAAACACACACACACACACACACACACACACACACACACACTCCAGTGTGCAAGGCTGTGACCCCGAAGTAGGAAGGCTTGGTCTCCCTGCTTCAGAATGGCCATCTGTGAATTTCGTTGTATGATATACTGTGTATATACTTACAATGACAATAAATTATATTATTATTATTATTATTATCCCTGGGGAGTGGGTCCCACGCAAAGTTGGGACTGGCCAGGCCGGAAAGATGGCAGTAGAAAGAACACTTTTGTCTGTAGTCTGGATGTACTCTCTTTTAGGAAGCCTCAAGGCTTGTCCTAGGTTTCTTTGCCAAAAGCTGAGTAGTTGCATGTGTTGGGATGCGCTCTTGTCGTTTCTAGAGAGCCATGAAACTCACAGGGTGACCTTGGGCCAGGCATTCTTGCTGCTATTGTGAGAAAGAAAAGTAGGGCAGAGAGCAATGTCTGGAGCCTGGAGCTCATTGGAGAAAAGGTAAGTTACAAAGGAATGTAACATAAATAAATAAATTCCTGGTTTCTGCCAGGTAGTGGTTATGGCCCTCTCTTTCGGAAGCCCTCAACTCTTTGAAAAGCATGCGCTCCTGTTCTGACCTAAGTTTTCAAGGCCTTCTTGAGTTTTTAAGATGGTAGACACAACTATGGATGTTTTGCAGGTGTCAGCTAGATGATCCATGGCTTTCAGATGAGTCCGTGGCACATGTAATCTTTAGTTCAAACCTATGTTTGAACAGTCAGAAGTATGAAGATTCAAAAGTAGTAACAAAATCTGCTCATTTGGGAGATTTTGTGTGAAAAGAAACCACAATGGGGTGATTAAAGGAAGGAGCTTCTAGAGTTTGAGGGCTTGCTGCTTCTTGGAAAGGAAGGGCTTGGGAACGGAACCTGCAAAGCAGCTTTTGGGAATCCACAAACAAAGGAAAGTCATTGGAGAGATGGCTGGAGAAGGGCCTCCCCCCCTTTTGTATCCCCCCTGTTATTTCCGTTCTTGTTCATTTAGGTCCAGCTGAGCCAACGTACGGTTGTTTTTTAAAGTCATGACACAAGGAATGGAGTCACAGAATGTGAACTTTCGTATGCAGCGCACAGCAACACTGGCTCAGGAGGTTCTGGAGCGAGCAAAAACACGGAAATTGAACTGGCCACTGCCTACTGACCTCCAACGGAGGACGCTTCAGGTAAGGATTTTAGCATAGAAGCCTGAGATGCTAGGACTGGGGTTCATTTATATATAAACCAAACGAGAAAGGAAGAGGTTTCATGGCAAGCAATGGTTGTGGTATTCATTTAAAAAGATGTCACAGAAGTGTCTTCTTTGCTGCCACATGGGCAGTTCTGTGTCTCTAAATGCCTAAGGCATTGCCTTTTTTTCTACTGTATTATCTGGGTAGATTGCCTGTGTGAAATGACTCATTTCAAGCATATCTCAATATAAGGTAGCCACTCAAAGGTTATCTCATGTAGATGCATCTTAGATTGGCTCATATCCTTTTCTCTACTTGTTACCTGTCTGCCTTCACTTTTTCTTCTAAATAATCAAAAATTTAGTTTTGGCAGGTATTAGCTAAACAGAGCTTTTAAATAAGAAAATAATAGGCAAGTGCTTATGGCATTTTTTTTTTTAGTTTTTTAAAGTATATAAAACTGGTCAGAAGCAGGAATTTAGTCAAACACTGTTAAGTTGTAATAGGATTTTTTTTAAGTGACAGGAATGACTGAACACCATGAGGTAATGGCACAGTATTCTGTGCAAAGATGCACACAGGGGATGATGTCCTTTCCCACCTACTCCTTGTTTTCCTAGACCACAATCCTGTCATGCCCTCACCTCCACATACACTTAAAGTCAAAGTTCTAAGTAACATGCCTAAGGATAGGCTGCCAATGATGATGGAAGCAGTGATATGGCACAGTTGGCTTCTGCACTTAATACTGAACGATCCCTGATGGGAACTTCTTTTGCTGTGGGACAAGAAAGCACGGTATGCATGGACAGGCTGTAAGAAGCCAGCTTGTTTACTACAGCCAATGACAATAATAACAGGGGAAGGTGTGGAGATAGTTTGAGATACAGTTATTTTTACAATACAGATGAAACTTTTGTGGGCCTGGGGGCCATTTTCCCCCCTAGGTCCATGAAACAAGCCATAAAATGAACCGATGGTTGTTGTGGGTTTTTCGGGCTCTTTGGCTGTGTTCTGAAGGTTGTTCTTCCTGACATTTCGCCAGTCTCTGTGGCTGGTATCTTCAGAGGACAGCAAAATGAACCCTTTCCCTGCCCCCCAAAAACCTCTGAAAGTGGATGGATGTCTGCTGTCAGTTTCAACAATTGAATATTTGGGGGTATTAAATAGCTATGGGATACTCTGGGACCTTCTTAAAAGATCATTCATCACTGCACCACTTTACTCAAAAGCTGATACCCAAGAGGCTTAGGAATTGAAAGCCACTTCCCCTCATCAAGAAAAATATGGGGCTCAGAGAGGTTTAAAAACAGCCGCTTGCAGCAAAAATAGACTATCTTTGTTCATCATGACTGTATGATATGGGAGGTTTTAGAGTTGGTTTAGCCTATTCATCCAATGGGCAGTTTTTTTAAAAAAAATTTAAGAATATGACAATATACTTAGAAGTAGAAAACTAAGAAATAAAAACATTTGATGCATACATACAAAAAGCAACTTAAACTCTTCAGTTACACATCAGTGCCTCCCTCCACTGGGACCATTCGAAGATGTGCTGCATCTGTTTCATCCATGATGCCCAATTTCCCCTTGATTCTTTGAAGGCACATGACCCTTCCCTTTAATTAATACATAGTCTATAAAAACTCCCCAAGTACCTCTTAAAAATATTCTTGTTTATCAAACCTTTTTTGACCTAACGGCCAGTTCACGGTTGCCAGCTTATATATGAGAGGCTTAGAAAAGGTAACAGTTTTGGAATATCCCCTATTGACATAGTTATACAAGGTTTTGTAGGCAGCGGCCTTTCCTTGCTAAGGTGAGGCTGCTGTTAGTGACTGGATCTTATTTAGCAGTAAGGTAAAGGTAAAGGTTCCCTTTGACAATTTTTGTCCAGTCGTGTCCGACTCTAGGGGTCGGCGCTCATCCCGCTCTTCAAGCCATAGAGCCAGCGTTTTGTCCGAAGACAATCTTTCCGTGGTCACATGGCCAGTGTGATTTAGACACGGAACGCTGTTACCTTCCCACCGAGGTGCTCCCTATTTATCTACTCGCATTTGCATGCTTTCGAACCGCTAGGTTGGTGGGAGCTGGGACAAGCGACGGGAGCTCACTCCGTTGCGTGGATTCGATCTTACGGCTGCTTGGTCTTCTGACCCTGCAGCACAGGCTTCTGCGGTTTAGCCCACAGCACCACCACATCCCTTGTTTAGCAGTACCTTGAATAAAAATGGCAAGTTTTAGCAAGAACAAGCTCTACCTAAGTAGCCTCCGTTATTGTATGCATGAATGTGGATTGAATGCACTGTTAAACTATCTTGCCATCTGGAACAGATAACACTTTTGAGGCTATTAGTAGTCCATTTCCATGATTAGCTAGCACTGGATAGTGATATACAAGAAGCTTTTGGATTACAAGGTAACATACTGACTTTCCCCCCCCCTGTATATTGCCTATTTTATCTCTTTAGTAACAGAACATTTTGTCTCATGAATGCAGGAAGGCTTCGATGAACATGCCTGTCTTGCAGCTGCTTTTGCTTCGGTTGCCGAACATATGGGCCGTATCTCGGCAGAATGTGAGGTAAACCTGCCTTGGGTGGTGGGTCAGGGGTATCTGTAATGGGACTCCTGTCTATAAACAAGCTTGAATAGGTTAGAGACTGACGTCCATCCAGGGGAGGCTTCTGTTAGAGGAAGGTGTGATAGATAAGACAGTTTTCATCAATTCACTCTCTACAGTACCCCATGCCACTTTTCCATATTGTTCCATGAGATGCTCCTGGTTTTTGCAGCAGTTTTTTCAAAGGTAGACAAGACTGAAAGGAAATAAGAGGAGCAGTGAATAGAGATGGACAGGACCTACCAGTTCAGTGGTTTGTGCTGGTTTGTTTGTCGACCGGGCAGGTTCAACACTTCAGAGACCCACCTCCTCTGGTGAGTGCCCACTGCAAGGCGGCAGCCTCTCTTCCCTGCCCCGCCTCCTCTGGGCAGTGTTTCTGAAAGGGCCATTTTCAATATAGGGGGCAGGGAGAATTTCAGGTCAGTTCATGTTTGATACAGATTTATGGAAAATTTTGGATATTAAAAAAAGAAAGAGTGGCTTAGAAATTTGAAACAAATTTGTCCATCCAGCCCCAGGCCTGAGAGTGTTTAAATCGCCTTCTAAAGTTGGGTTTGAATTTTCAATTAGGATTGTCACCTCTCTTTTTCTGAGAGGTGTCTCTTGTGTAGCACTTGGGTGGCAGGCAGGTCCAACATAGTTCTCTCCCTGCTGGGAATAGCTGTACCTGTGAATTCAGCTGAAGTAAATGATGGAGAAGACGGAAAGTCCAGGTATTATGAAGCCTGAGCTTTATTTATGTTTAAAAGCATGCAGTAGGCACGCCCCTGAGATCATGATTTGGGGGAGTCTAGAAAATAAACTGTTAGAAGAGTGTTCAAATATCAGTCTTCTCATTACAAGCCAGTGTGGTGTTGAGGGCAAAGATGTTGCCTTGAGATCTGAAAGATCCAGCTTCCAGAGGAATTTTTCATAATTTGCCCATTCCTTCAAATTCAGCACAAAGGGAACTTCAGGTTTTTAAAAATGCAAAAGCAAGAAGCAAAACTGAAGGATTGTTCCTATTCCTAACAAAGAGAGTTGATCAGAACTTTACACACAAATCTGTACATTGAAATGGAAACCACAGCTTTGGTTTGTTAATATTCTTATCAAATATTTTGGATGACATCTTCATTTTACAGGTACTAGTAAATTTTGGTTTCATCATCCTCTCTCCTTTGTTTCTCCAGAGATACTATTGCTCTGTATCTCCATTTAAATTCAAAGAACATGAAGCTGCACATATTTTCAGATACCACAGCAAGCAAGCATCTGAAAATTTGCTTAAAGCATTGAAAACTGAGGTAAGTATGCTGAACATTTTCTTCCATTTAAACCAAGATAAAATTACTCCCTCTTTTCCAGTCTATTGAATAACATTTCAGGTAATAAATACTCAGGTTTGCTGGTGTGTGGTTTTGTTTTGTTTGTTACTCTTCGTATTCTATTCCTTAAGGGTGGTCTTTTATGAATATGAACATCCTCCTTCCATGTGACTGAACTATCTAGAACAATCTACCCCAGCTGGTGCCCTCCAGATTTGTTGAACTGTAACTTCCACTATTCTTTGCTTTTCAGACAAAATATTGGGGAGATTTGTAGTTTAATAAGATATTGAATATAGAAGTAAACTTAAAGAAGCATAAGAGAAATAGAAGCATAACAAAATACAGAATTAAGTATTTAAACTTTGGAAGTTAAGGAGATATTTACCTAAAAGGCATCAAAATAGTTACTTGGAAAGCCTGGATTGGTAGTGTGCTTTCTGTGCTGGTGCAACACCACTGAAAAGGCTCTTTCTCCAGTAAGTAGTGATAAAACCCAATACAGTACGTTGAAGAAACTTGGAAAAAGAGCCTCTAGGGATCTTAAAGTTACCATTCAAAGTATAGCTAGGCATGTTACATTGATTCACACAAATTTCAGTGACCTTCCTGAAGTTTTCTATGTATAAAGTTCTCAGAAGTATTTTACCAGTCCTTGCTTCGAGTGGAATTTTATGAATATGAACATCCTCCTTCCATGTGACTGAACTATCTAGAACAATCTACCCCAGCTGGTGCCCTCCAGATTTGTTGAACTGTAACTTCCACTATTCTTTGCTTTTCAGACAAAATATTGGGGAGATTTGTAGTTTAATAAGATATTGAATATAGAAGTAAACTTAAAGAAGCATAAGAGAAATAGAAGCATAACAAAATACAGAATTAAGTATTTAAACTTTGGAAGTTAAGGAGATATTTACCTAAAAGGCATCAAACTAGTTACTGGGAAAGCCTGCATTGGTAGTGTGCTTTCTGTGCTGGTGCAACACCACTGAAAAGGCTCTTTCTCCAGTAAGTAGTGACTAAAACCCAATACATTGAAGAAACTTGGAAAAAGAGCCTCTGAGGATCTCAAAGTTGCAATTCAAAGTACAGCTAGGCATGTCACATTGATTCACACAGATTTCAGTGACCTTCCTGAAGTTTTCTATGTACAGTATAAAGTTCTCAGAAGTGTTTTACCAGTCCTTGCTTCTAGTGGAGCTGTGGGATTGTGCAGGTTGCCCAAGGCTGCAAAAGTGCCAGGCCACATAACCCCATCAACCACAAACTGCCTGAAAATAAAATGAAATTCCCTAGAAGTCAATGGGATATTATGCTGAGTAAACTTGATTTGAGTAGGACTCTTGGAAATGCAATGTGCCAGGCCCATTAGTTCTAGAACATGCACTGGCAGCTCTGCACTTCATGTCATAGGGATTTTTGATTTGACAATCAGGTGGTGACCTTAGCCAAGGACCCTGACCATGTTGACTGTCCCTCTGTAATATTTGACTTGTCATTTTAGTTATCCAGATGTGCATTCTTAGAACTTTATGCAACATCTTAATGACCTTCTTAATTAAATTACTGTCATATTGATTTGGATACAGTGGTATTTTCTAGAGACTGGCAGATTGGATCTGGTAATCTCTAACCTTGAAATTCCATAAATTGTGTTTGTTTTCTCTAGGAAAGTGAACCTGGCGGAGGCGTGGAAGAATCTGGTTGTCCTGATACAGAATCATCTGCATTAATTCCAGCAAATACCTCTAATGTGAAAGCAAGTATATGTTCATCTACCCTTTGAAGGCTTCTGTAGCTTCCAGTCTCCTTGGGTTGTATCCTGTTGTGCCAGTCAACAGAACGGACATCATTAAGGGAGTAGATTCCCCTTCCCTTCAGTCTCCTTCAAGGGGTTGGAGGACCCCCAAGAGCTGATTTGGAGGATAGAGTCTGAGTAAGGAAGAGCAAATCCCACTTTATATATAGAAAAATAACATGAGACCTAACGAAATAGTTAGACAGAGAGGTTGAATTGATCATGAGATTGGAATTTTGAAATGTAAAAGGGGAGACTCCTCAAATGCACTTGCCATGATCACTGCTTCTCTTAACGCTGGCGAGCACATACCAACTCCCAATCCCTCAAGCAAGTGTAGAATTCCATATAAATGTAATTATTGCTTGGAAATAATATGGTTTTTTGGAACTCTACCTCAAATTATAACTACATTAGTGACAGAGATCTTGTCTGGGGACGTTTGTAACAGTAGGGCTTGATTAGATTGCTCCTTCCATTCACATAGAAGCTCCTGCAGCCACTGTAACTGTGATCTACTCAACCACGTGTTGGAGTTAGATCATACTGTTTTCGTCCATTTGGACACAATGTGCCCCTGTCCCTCCTCTTCTCACCCCCACCTTCTGCCTTCTTTGTTGTAATAACTATCAGCCAGTTGGGAAACAGCCTGCTTCCATTTGCTTGCAGGTGGGCATTAATCTTGGGTTTCTATGCACATAAAAGATGGGGGGGTACAGAGTTCCATGTTTCAGCACCGAGTTTCTCCTTTGTTTAAATTATTTTTTTCTAAGTGGCATAGTGCTGCATTGCTTCAATGTTTAAGAACCTTAAGTGACTCAACAGTGGAGGTATTCCAGAGAAATTTGAACAAACATCTGGCAGATATCCTTTGATCTGTATTCCTGCATAGAGCAGGGGATTGGACTCAGTGGCCTTATAGGCCCCTTCCAACTTCATAATTCTATTATTCTATGACCCTTTGGCTCTCTTCATTTTTGAAATACATTGCCATATTTTAAAAAAATTAAATTACTGCATCCTGTGCTGTTGTGCTATCTAATCCTCATTGCCGGATGTTGAGGAATATCAGCTTTGCAAAACTGGCAGTTGATGTCTGCGTAAAGGCAAAGCTGCACAGCTAGGCTATTGTCTTCAGCCTTATACTTTATAATGCTTAAGTGATACTGCGCCAAAGTAGGAAGCATTTTAAAAAAAAATTTAAAAATAAAATAAAAAAAATGCATTTTTTCCGCTTCAAAAATAGGACAGAGGGTCCTGTCTGCAGTCACACCCAGACCACACCCACCTCTACACATCACCACTGATGTGAAGGAAGAAACCCCCCCACACACACACTAGAGTGATCTTGGCAATCGCACAGCAAAAAAGTGTTTATTTTTATCAATCCTAATCGTTCTAAATAAACAGTAGGCTTCAGTCCTAGACCAAACTGGGATAGATTGGGCCCCCTTAGACACAGGTTGGAATACTCTAAGAAGAATTTTATGTAGTCAGTATTTTTAGAGCATTCCACACCCTTCCATCAGGGGGTTACAGAGCAGAATAAACTCCAGTGCAGCTGGCCTCTCAAACGGCAACTCTGTGCCTATAGTATGGTTGAAAAATACTGAATTAGTACTGCTCAAACAGTCAAAACAGCTCCCATTATTACCTGTAGGCCTTCTGTTGGAAAAAATCTTGACATACAGGTTTTACATGCAGGATATCTACATTGAAGTTGCTCCTGGTACTTACACAGTCAGTGCATCTTCACATGAAGACACAATCAAACAAACGCATCTGGTAAAGATTCAGCCAGGACAGAGTGTAAATTTGACTTTTAATTTGTGATTTCTTCCCAACTGAGGTAACAAATGGAATATATATTTAATGCCTTAAGTGGCATCTTTTAACATATTGTTATTTTTATTGCTATCATGGGTGTATACTATATTATAATCTGAAACGTTTCAGATTTGCCCCAACTTGAATCATGTGGTGTATTGTCATTTTTAAGATATGCAGTCCCTTGTAAACAATAAACACAAAGTGCAGATGTCATTGCTCTTTTTAAAGACTTCATTGTGTATTTGTCTTACTAAGCTATCAGCTAAAGAAACAGTGTAGGCCATGAAAAAGAAATGAATGGAACAGAAAAAGACATTTTCTTTTTGTACTAGTTAGTTTTTGTACTAAATACAAAATAATATAGTATTCTGGCAGAAACAGCAGTAGCCAAATGCATTGATTCATTTGCTGCCCATTGGCCTGGTTACGTGCCTCTAGAGCAGTAGTTCCTAACGGTGGTGTACAACTGATCAGGCACAGAGGTAGACTAATTGGGGCACTTGCTTTTCATAATATTTGAATTAATTTTCCCTGAATACTGTCTACTCCTGCAAGTGTGACATGCCATTTACTAAGCCTACATGCTATAGATATCCATCTGTGACCTTTAAATGATAAATATACAGTGGTGCACCGCTTGACAATTACCCCGCTTGATGACGAATCTGCTTTACAATGAGTTTTTTGCAATCGCAAAACAATGATTCCTATGGGGTTTTCCGCTTTACGACGATTGGTTCCCTGCTTTGGGAACCGATTTTTCACTTAACGATGGTTTTGAAACAGCTGATCAGAGGGTCACAAAATGGCCATCCACTGTGTTTAGGACTGATTGCTCGCTTTACAGGCACTGGAAAATGGCCACCCTATGGAGGATCTTCGCTGGACGATGAGGTATTTCCCCCCATTAGAACGCATTAACCAGTATTTAATGCATTCTGATGGGTTTTTTACTTTCGCTTGACGATTTCGCTGTACAGCGATTTTGCTGGAACGCATTATCGTCGTCAAGCGGGGCACCACTGTAATAGAATACCTGTAAATGTAAGTGCCCGTTTCAGAAGACATGGACTTATTTTTTATCACGAAAGGACATTTCCCATCAATCATTCTGTCAAAGAACCATATTGGCAGAACCCTATGGGTGTTCGTGTGAAGGGAGGCATCTTTGTTGCCCATCCGGGTACATGACCAGGTGTGCAACCAAGGCATACTCTGTCTCATCATCAATTAGCCATACCAAGTTACATAAACCTTACATAAAACACCAATAGGATTCTGATCACAAGTTAGTTCTCCCGGATTCATCTTAAAATCTAAAACTGTTCTATGTGAAAATATTTTTTGAATTTTCTGTTGCATTATGGTTATGTGCTTTGTCTCTTATTTAAGCAATATAATAAAACATTTACGGATCTGCTAGGAAAAGCTTCTTGCAAGCAGTGCCCTCTATTCATATATGTGTGTTGTGTGTATACAATTATGTATGAGAATTACACTGTTGAGAGATGTTAAGAAACATCCCCATATGTATAAATGCTTTAATATATCCTTACAAAAAAAGACAAAAGTATTTGTACAAAATCCTATTATTTGTGTGTGACACAAATATTATTATACCACTGACATTTTAGACACAGGCTTGCTTTCTCATCTCATCACATAGCAATTTTCATCAAGTTGGACATCACAAAGCAGTGGGTAGGGGTGAAAATTTTCAAAAGTCCCCAAAACAATCATATCCAGATTTTAAGGTCAGGCCCTTCTTTAAAGTGAGCCTCAAAATGGATGCTGCAGCTTTTTGGAATCTGCTTTAAATATCTGGTGTCATTGCAACATGTGGCAATGTTACTGTCTTTCTCCAGTTCTGTAAAGAAAGGTTTACCAGTCTTTCAATAGCTCTCCCATTGCCTTATATCAGAGCACACAATCCCAATTTGGTGATGAATGTTGGCATCCAGAAACATGGCCATCCCCAGATGAAAAATACTTGAAGGTCAAATGTAATTTATACACCAAATAAAGAAAAAGTCAATTGCAGCCAGTTGTTTTGTTACAAATCTACAATTAGACCAAGCAAATAGAATTGCTGAGAAATCAACTCTGTATTTCAGCAACTACTTCCTTTGTTCTTTACCCTCCCCCATGATGGTTTGATATCACTGTGGGCCAAGATATCTCTTATGGTAAATTGCTTTCAAGGAAACTGTTCAATGGTTTCAAACATGGCACTGTGGTTGATTAGTGTGGCTGGAGACATAGCCATATTGGAAATTCCTTTGATTTTCATTCTTTCCTCACTGCTGGTGCTGTAAATGTTGATACCTATAGATGATAGCCTAACACTTAACATGTAAGTCGAGTGGCAAACATTTGAAACTGGAACAGTACAACAATGGAACCAGTTATCTCAGGAGGTGGTAAGCATTCCAATACTGGAATCATTCAAGAGAAAATTAGGCAACTGTCTGTCAGATATACTTCAATTTGGATTTCTTCATTGAGCAGGGGGTTGGAGTCAAGGGTCTTATAGGCCCCTTCTAACTCTATTAGTTTGTGATTCTATAAGGAGCTTTTGTAGATGGGGATGCAAGATCATAGGCATATGAGGTTTAGTAACAGCAACAAAGTTTTTTTGAAATGAAGTTTTGCTTCTGTTAAAGTAGAAAAATAGAACTGGATAGCATATTTCACATTTGGATTAATAAGAAGGCACACACTAGTAAGAAATTCCATAGAACTAATCAGGCTAGGAGACAAGTAGCTTTATAATTTTATCGCTAGGATCCTTTCTCAAATACGTAGACAGACTGGAAATGAAATTGCCCTTAGTGATAGATGGCATCTCCTCTTCAGTAGCTCAGATGTAAGACTCAAGTTTTGCCTGTGGAATGAAGTGACTTCATCCCCGGCTCCTCACTCATATGGGCCAATGGCAAGATTTAAACCTTCAAGTACGCTAGTGTCTGTGATACGATCTATCAGCAGAAAAAGCCATTTTGGCACTGCAAAGCAGCCATTCTCAACAGGGCCCTGACACATTTGAAGAGGGGCACAGACTGGAAACCATTTGTCAAACAAATAGTTAAACACTTGATAAGGTTTGTTACAGTATGTGATTTATACAATCCTGATTTGGGTGTATTTCTTTCGTATTGTATTTATTATGGCCATGCCCTCCCAAAAAAGGTTGAGAATGACTATATAAAGCATGACTTCTTAACAGAGACAGAGTTAAAGTGGCAGTTGGCCTTCTAGCCCATGCATGGAAATCTGGGAGTTTTTAACTTGCAATTCCCAGAATCCCCTGCCAGCAACGCCTGGGCTGTTTAGAGGATACTCAGAGTTGTGGTTCAAAGAAGTAACTTTTAAAAGCCCTGATTGAGGCTTCTGTTCAAGATCAATCAGGGGAAGTGTTGTCTACCTTGGCTCTTGAAAGGGGAGCTGGGATGGCTTCTCTTCCAATACTTCCAGTCAGGTCTTTTGACCTCTTGCTGCTTGGGCTTGTCAAAAAGGCTGTAATCTGTGTTCACGGCATGATCTACCATTGTGTTCTTGATAACGCACGTTCCCTTGTCCCTTGGGGAATCCCGGGAGGATGAGGAAGAGCCAGACAGGGCAACAGCGGGTTCTGCTTTTGGAGGGCCTTCCACTGCTAGCAACTGGGTGGTGGGCTTACAGCCAGACTCTTCTTTCACATCTCCCTGGGCTAGTTCAGCTAGAGAAGGCTGGCACCAGCAGCCACTGCATTTCAAGCTGCAGCAGGAAGCATGCTGTGAACATCCAAGTGACGAGCATGTGTGGCCAAAGCATGTGAAAGAGGGACAGACAAAAGGACAGCATGGCCACCGGAACCTTTGGAAGTCACTAAAAGCATGTCTGTGTGTAGGGGGCAGCATAGGGTGTGGACTGATGTAACAAGCCCTGTTGAATTGCCCTTCGAACTTCTTCCTGCTCGTGTAGGGTAAATGGATCATCTCTACAATCCTTTCCCACTGGAGTGGTGAAATCCACATGGCGACACCAAGTGGGACTTTGGCTTTCTTGCCATTCCAAAAGCTGACTGTAATTTCTTCATCTTCTTTCTCTGTTGGAGAGAAAACAGCAATGTGTGTTTCAAAAATACTACCACTCTTTTTAAGCTAATTTTAATGATTAATCTAGACTGCCAGCCTTCATATATGATTATAGTAGGACACCCCCCCAATGTACTGAATCAGCATCTGCAGATTCTCTTATCCACTACCTGAAAATATTAAATAAAAAATCCAATGTATTTACCAAAACTACTCACTAGAGGGAGCACTGAGACAATGCTCTCTCTATATAGTATTCATTATTTCCATGTTTTTCAGTGTCTGCAAGGGGGGCTTGGAACCAAACCCCTAAGGCTACTGCAGTCTTACTGTGCTGAACTCACAAACAGTGGTCTTTAGATTCCAGTAGAGGAAGCACTTGACAAAATATCTTTTTGTGTTTGCCATAGAGAGCAATCTTAAACTGAACCAGACTAGACCAGACCACTTAAACCAGATTTTTCAGCTCTCAACTGACAAGGGCTCTCCAGGGATTCTTCCCTTGTCTTCCATGGAGATCCTATGTATTCTCTGATAGCCTCCCATCCAAATACTAACCAGTCCTGACCTTGCTTAGCTTTTAAAAATCCGATGAGATCTGTATGTTCAGGGAGATATGGTGATGAGCCAAAGTTCAGAGTAGAGTATCTGCCTTGCATACAGAAGGTCTGAGATTATACCTCTGGTCTTGGAAACCCTGGAAAAGCTGCTTCCAGGTTGGGTTGGGAATAGTGTACTAGGTGGGTCAATTGTATGATCCTGTATAAGACTTGTTCTTATGCTCGTCTGTCATGTTTTGTTTTGTTTTTAAAAATTATACTACAAAGGCTTCGGGCATTAGCAGGATGATCTTGCCAGAGGCTTAATTAACAAGAGAGGGCCTTCTCGTTGTTGTTGTTGATGTTGTTGTTGTTGGTGGTGGTGGTACCACCACCACCACCACGTTCTTAGAGAATCACGTTTAGGAGCAACCTGTCTTCCTATTTCCAGTGAAAGACAGTTGGCCAAATGCTGATTGGCTGTTCCCTATGATAATCATGAAACTACTGCTACAATCAGTGATCTGTATGTTTTTTTTAAAGCACCAATAAAACAGAATAAGCAGATCAGATTAAATATATTTTGAAGGAAAAGCTGAAATGAAATGAATCAATGAATAAAATCATTCTCCAAAAGTTACTTTTTGTTGTGCATTTAAACTGCCCACCAATTTACTATTCTGTCCTGTTCAAAACGTTACTGTACGAAGGCACTTTAGGAAGAGACAGGCTCAAGCCTCTTCTAAGGTGGAAGCCTGTACAATTCCTGCCTGTATGTTGCAAAACAACCACGGGTTTTACCTCTCAGGGGATCCCTGGTCTCAAGGCCTTGGAGGACAGTGCCAGGCCCGTATCTCTTCCGCCCTGGTTCCCAAGGGGCCAACACTTTGTCACTTGGCAAGATGGCATGTTTCATCCCAGTCACATATTCAAGGACGTCACTACTGGGTGTCCTTTGCACATTGATTGTGTCTTCCTCACCCACCGCAGACGGCTCAGTGAACTGCACTAGGAATATGTTTTTCTCACCCTGTGGCACAGAATAACATGAAGAATTAAATTGAAAAGCTGAATAACCAAGTGGATTTATGCAATAATCAGCCATCTCTTCTATGTCTGCTTAAGCTGTCAGAAATTAAGAACAAGTGAGTGGGAGGAATTAGGATGCTAAAGTGTTGAGACAAAGTTTCTAGGTCTGGAAAAAATAACAGGGATGCCTCTGGACTTCCAAAGTGTATGTGTGTGAGCGGGGAATCCAGTAAATCAGAGTGATGAGATGATACTACTACAGTATTAATAATTTGACAGAACTTCTGAAAAGCATGGTACAAAGTATGAAAGCTTCCTTTATTAGTACTTGATGCAATAATAATAACATTATCATTCAGATGCAACATGGCATGACTGGGATGTTGAGTATGTTAAAAAAAATGCTAGTTCAAACCAGCAATAATGGTGCACCCACATTGGCCAAAAATGCTGGAAATGCTTTGGGATTGGGAGGTCCTGATTCACATTTTTTTTCCTGTTGATCACATGACTAGAAATGGCATTTGCATACGAATACCCCTGCGCAAGTGGACATTTTCCTGTTGATCACATGACTAGAAATGGGGGTATTTGCATACGAATACCCCTGCACCAGTGGACATCCATTCACCCGTCCGCTGCTGCCACCAGCTCTGCACTCCCTTTCAATAGCTCACAGTCGACTAACCACTCCTGGCATAAGGAGGGAAGACAAGCCTCCATGCCAGGCTGATGAGTGGCTAGTCAACTGCGAGCTCCAGAGTGATTGAAAGGGAGAGTGGAACCGGTGGCATCAGTGGATGGGTTGAGTGGATGGTGTGGCCCCAGGGGGCGGCGGACCCTTGCTATGTCCACTTCTGCGGGGTATTTGTATTCGTATACGAACACCCCCATCTCTACACATAACATACAAACCAATGCGAATCAACTCAAAGCCCCGCTCATCCAAAGTTTTTGCCTCCACCACTGGGGTTTCTTTTCTTTTCTTTTTTACATTGGATCCATTTACATGAATTCAGACAGTGTAATCACTTATACTGATGCAGAACAATCCTTTGCTCTTAAATGTTCCTAAAACAGCTGGATTTGCAATTTTTTTTTAAAAAAGGAGTTTATTTTTCCTTGCATTCCCCCACCATCCCTTCTCAAGAGATATTGGTTGCTCCTCCTTAAAGAAAACCTGTTCCTACCTGGAGCGAAAACTGGACACTGTATTTCTCAATTATACTAAAAAAGAATTCTTGAAAAGCCTCCACATTGCCTTCACGTTTTCTTTAAAGTGAGCACAGGACCCTGTTTGTTCAGTATATGAGAGGAGGAATTGGCACTCTGCCCTTGTTTACAGCTCATAAGGCAGTTCTCCCTGTAGCTGTGCCTCCTGCAGGGCTAAAGGAGAGCTTTGTTAACAAGCTGCAAACAAGGCTCTTTAGCCATTTTCTTCCTCTCCTTGTGCAGCCAGTTGATGGAAACAGATCTGGGGGTACTCGAAGGCTCCAATGCAACTTTACATCAAGTGAATTCACATTTCTCTCACTGTGTAGTTGGACCCTCAGACAGGGAGAGACCTTGGTTTAATGGTGAAAACCATGCCTAAAGGGGAAAAGATCCAGTTTTAAAAGAGAAGATCAGCAACGCATAGTCTGCACTTCTATGAAGATAGCTTGCTACGCTCTGACAGTTGCTGACAGCCACAGAAATGCCAACACACTCAGGGCTCATCTGCTTAGTTTGACTTCCCCATTCATTTTACAGAAGGAGCAGCGCCAGACATGCATCAGACCATGCATAAATTGGTCAGGGCGTTCAGAGAATTCTGTCAGAGTAACTGAATGTCTGCATTTGGGATTCTGCTGAGTGCTAGTGGAAGAGGACCCTCCCCCAGCATAGTAGCACTGGATGTCCTACTTCACTACTACACAAGCAGAAATCACCACAGTGGCCCACTGTGACAGCCCAGTTTCCACTTGCGAAAGGAAGGGCTGGATTTTTGTACTAGCAAGAAAAGAAAAGAAAAGTGAACTGCTCACCCTACATGCAATGTGTGAACTGCTCATGCACTGGACTGTATGAGTTAACAGGATTTGGCCCACTCTGCCAAATACAGCAATGTCTTCCATTGTAGACAAAGGGGGTAACCTCAGGAACCCAATTCATCACTGAACGAGCAGATGATTATGGTACAGTGAATTGTTGCCAGTTAGAAGGTACTGAGTACTGACAAACAAATAAAAACAATCCAGATTCCTAAAGGCTGTAGTTCTGAAAAAGCGTGTAAGTGATATAGATAGTATTGTCTGCAAAGCTGCAGTGATACATTTTGAGGTATAGGTGGCCTTCATGACTTCCTTCCTATATCTGGTCCCCACAGAGTCCAAGAAAAGCAATTGGCTGTGTTAAGAGACTGGTTCTAGCAGTTTTCAGCTCTTATCAGCAGCACGGTTTGTTGCTGTTGTTTTTAAAGAAGAAACCTAATGAGACGTAACTCTCCATTCAAGACAAGACACCACACCACACCACTCCGATACTTTGCATTACAATGATGATATCTGACAACAGTGTACAATAGCTACAAAAATTAATTTATCGCTTCAGCTACTGTGAAGATAAGCTCAGAGGGAACAGGGAAGCTGAGGAGGTGCGGTGGCAAAGGATTTCAATGTCCCTGCTGCTGATTTATTTTTTTTATTTTTTTTTAAGGTCTCAGTGTTTCAATTCTGAGTCCTGGCTCTGTTACACCACCAGATATCTCAGAAACAGAATGTTTGTGTGCAACATCCCACTCTTTATTTTTCCAAAGCACTCAATTGTCCCTGTCCAGAAAAACATCTTCATGTGGATACAGATACTTGCATTGGAGTAGAAGAACCCCTCATGTATGCAAACATTGTTTACGCAATCCCCCGACAAACCCAGGAGAAGAAGATGCTGGCCAATCAGAGATCATCATCTGTTTAGTCCACCATTTCCACCTCTGTGCCATCCAGCGATCTGACCAGTACCAGCTATGCAATGAACTAGATGGGCTTTCTGTGCAAAACTTTAATAATTTGGATTAAATTATGAATGTTGAACATATCTGTACAATTTGTACAGTATGTTCTGTGGTACAAAATGTGAGTGTTCTTAGCTGAGAACTTAGTGTGTTTCCTCCATCTTTGTGTGTTAGTGCAGCCTTGTCTAAATTACAAAATGGAAATGTTTATTTCACACATTGCACTCCTTTTTGCCACTACAAAGCAAAGACATATCCTGGATTCGTTCCAGAGCAGCTCCTGTTTCATACTGAATGCCAGGAATTTGAGATTTGTCAGTCTTTTAGAGACGTTAGTAAGCAAACAATGCTGTCCCTTGTTTGCACTTCAAAACACACACACACACAATATTTGTTTTAGAAGTTTCAAGTGCTAACAACTAATGAATTGAAGACTAGTGTTGCTGTGCACAGAGGCTTAACATTGTTAAGTATATATATATAAACATTCTAACATATTTCCAGCAATAAATAATGCTGCTCATGTGTTTTCTCACAATATCTGTTGAGACACTATCCCCAAACAGCACAAATCCACATGAACATCTGGCATTGGCATTAAAAACAAAAGAACCAGATCCGGCAAGATAGAGAGGGAGGGAGTAATCTTATGCATGTCTATTGAAAATAAGCTGTGCAGAGTTTAGAATTTGCTATTTAGTATGTATGTATTCCTTAGTAAGGAAGGACAGCTCCTGAAGCTGAGGCTCCAATACTTTGGCCATCTCATGAGAAGAGAAATCTCCCTGGAAAAGACCCTGATGTTGGGAAAATGTGAAGGCAAGAGAGAAAGGGATGACAGAGGATGAGATGAACGAACAGTGTCATTGAAACTACCAACATGAATTTGACCCAAGTCCAGGAGGCAGTGGAAGACAGGAGGGCCTGGTGTGCTCTGGTCCATGGGGTCACGAAGAGTCAGAAATGACTTAACAACTAAACAACAACAAAGTATGTATAGCTCAGTGGTTTAGATATCTGGCTGCCAAGCCAAAGCTTGAGATTTTTATTCCCCACTGTGCCTCCTGTGATAAGAGACAGCCTGTGTGGCCTTGGGCAAGCTGCGCAGTCCCAGTGCACCCCCCAGAAGAAAGAAATGGTAAACCACTTCTGAGTATTCTGTACATGGAGAGACCCCTGAAAAGAGTCACCATAAATCAGGTTTGACTTGACAGCACATGATTTTTAAGTATGTACAGAATTGCAGCCTTCACCCTAAAATAAAGTGATAATTTCACAAGACGTGATCCAAACAAGACAAAAACATTCTAGAAATTTTAAAAAGATGGAAAACTGAATAACCAACATCAATGAACATTTTATGGCAGTATGACTTTTGAAACAATTTTCTGGTAAAAATAAGGAGTCTTCTGGCACTTTAAAGACTGACAATAGCTTCTTCCCTAGAACTTTGTAATGAGTATTGCAATGACTGTCTTGCACTTCTTCTGTAATGACTTGATTAGGAAACATTTGCAAATATCCAGCACATAAGAAAGCTACAGGAGATGCCACTGGGTAGCATGGTGTCTGACATTAAATGGTTTGCTCTCCCAGTAAAGAGCTAGTGGGCTGAATAGCACAGTTAGTTAGGTGCCTGGTTGGGAGTTCTATTCCCTTCTGCACCTCCTATGAACAGAGCCAGCCTGTGAGGCCATAGGCAAATGGCACAATCCAAGAGCGCCCCCAGAAGAAGGAAATAGTAAACCACTTCTGTGTGTTCCTTACCTGGAAATCCCTTGAAAGAGTCACCCTAAGTCAGAATTAACTTGATGGCACACAATCATTATTAATATAATGCTAATCTTGACATAGTTTGAGCTGAACACAGAAGTACTGAAGTCAAAAGGGATGTGAAAAAAGTGAACAACAGTGGCAAAAATATCACTGTGACTTGTGACCAGTACCCCTACATTTCTACCACTGAACTGAATAGCTTCACCAGAGACTTTTGTCATCCATTCTGCCCCTCAAGATGGGTAAGACAATCAAGGGCATAATTTGGAGAAGGAAGGAAGGAAATTCATTCCACAGTCAGGCCCAATGATTTTTGTTTTTCGGCACTACATTTAATTTCATCTCTTCTTACACACCACTGTTTTCCACAGCTGAACACACTTTTGTACCAAGCTGAATGCCAAACGCTGCTGTCTCTGTTTCTATGAGCCTGTTAGTTAAATAATCAAGTGGATCTACATAGTCAAATAACTTCCTATGCTAAATCTGAGCCAACCATTCCCAGGACTAAACAGATTCACTTGAATTATTGTATTTTCCAGTTGGCCCAGTAGATCCCAATGAAATATACCGATGGGATATGGGGAGCATTCCCAGGACTCCCAGTCGAAAAGTTATTGTGGACTTATTGCATCTTTTCTTCCTCAATGGCTTTTTGTTTTCTGATAGGTTACATGTGGATGCTTTTTGTTTTCTGGTGAAGGTTACATGTGGATGCTGATAATGCCTCATTTGAATTTGAAAAAGTCCTTGAATGATACAGGACAATTGCACAACAAAACCATAATCGGGAAGCACTCTGGTTGGATTTCGTAAGATTTGCCTATAGGCTCCTGGTTTCTGATCTTGGGCCACCCAGGTGTTCTTGGATTGCCTCTCTCAGAAACCCCAGTCAGCACAGGTAGTGGTGAAGGCTTTTGGGAGTTGCGGTCCAAGAACACCTAAGTTATCCAAGGTTGGGAATCACTGGCCCAGCATAGCTATCTAACAGACCTTCAAGACCTAGATTGCATGCGGGAAAGAGGCTAATAGGGATGATTGTCCTCACATATCTTCTTCCTCAGTTGCTTGGTGGCCTGTCACGAGCATACGTATGCTGAGAAGGAGGATGCGCAAGGAGAGTCATCCCATGCATTCTTTTTTGCAGTGATCCCGTAGCAGTAGCTAAGCACATGGATATTTAGGCGGCGGTGGCAGCATACAAAGAAAAATACTTGTGGGCTTCATATGGTCTATATATACAAGAAAACAGCAAAGTAACTTGCCTCTACAGCCTTTATTACTGATCCACGGTAATAATAACCATCACTTTCCCTTCTTGCCAGAACAGGAATGTCAGTAGTATCCAAGGATTCGTTCAAATTCTTTATTTTCTCACAAGTTGCATCATAAGAATGAGGACAGGATCTGAGATATAAGCACCTACCAAAAAAAAAATGGAGGGCGTTTAATTTATAATTGCATAGAACCTAAGCAAAAGCAATCAGTTTTCAAATGTTGAACACTGTATTCCTCCACTGACTGCACAATGCCCCACCCACTCGAAAAATCCAAACTATTTGTGTGGAATCCTACAACATTAATGACTGGGAAATAATTCACACAGGGGAACTAACATTACAACATACAACTCTTTCCCTCCCCCCCAAACTAGCAGTCTTTTATTTTTTTCAACCTGCATATTTAAAACCCCAATACTGTATATATAGGACCCCAATATATGTATATTACTACCTTGTTGGGTTGAGGGGTTTAACAGCGCAGGCAGGATGTGCTAAAATGGTACCAATGCAGATTAAACTCGGATGAGTTATGAAGTGTCTGCAGATTGGCTTGCCTTGCACAGGTATCAAGCAGCAATGATTGTGGTATGGGAAAGAAGGCCATGTGTAGTTCTCCATTCTTTCAGAAGTACTCTCCTGCCAATAAAAAGAAATGATGAGGCATCTTAGGTACTTAATGGAGAATTCATGTAGTTCATGCACTAGAACTTGGTTACTTATCTAAAGTAGACTGCTGCAGTGCTCTCTACATGGGACTGTATTGAAGATGATATAGAAACTGTCATTAATGCAGAACACAGCAGTTAGAACATTGTTTAGAACACTATATATCAACCATGTTGTGAATCACAGTACACCAGTTTTTAAAAAGCAGCCCTGGTTGCAAATGGATTTCTCGTCTTAATTCAAGCTGTTCTTGAATTAAATAAGGCTACTATTGTGTATCTTCTCTTCCCATATCATGAGAAGAGAAGACTCCCTGGAAAAGACCCTGATGTTGGGAAAGGGTGAAGGCAAGAGGAGAAGGGGACGACAGAGGACGAGATGGATGGGCAGTGTCATCAAAGCTACCAACATGAATTTGACCAAACTCTGGGAGGCAGTGGAAGACAGGAGGTGCTCTGGTCCATGGGGTCATGAAGAGTCGGACACAACTTAATAACTTAACACTATTGTGTGCAGATATACCTGGGAGGAATTCTTTTTGAACTTAATGAGACTTTCCAGTACAGTTGAATACAACTTTACTACCAACATTTCTGAAATGTACCAACTTCAGTTGTAAGCAGGAAAACAGTAATATACTATACATGGAATATCTGCCTCACTGATAACTAACTAACTAACACGACAGGATGGAAATATGAATCTGAACTGAATGGGAGAGGGTACTGAATGTAGGTTGTCACTAATTAGAGAGTCCCCTGCTTCAGTCCTGGGTTGTGTGTGAAGCCACTCAACTTGCAGACTATAATATTGAGCAGAAGTGATTAGGAATCAAAGTGAGGACTCTTTAATTAAAGGCAATCTGCTCCCCATTTATGCAAATGAACTTTGGGTATTGTATCTCTTTTATAAGTACCAGCTTTCTTCTTTCTTCAGTAGGGAGATTTGTATATAATCTCTTTGCAAATATGAAATGTCCTCTACTAACCATTCCGATATTCAGAGACAGAATCCACTATTTAACTCAGCTGCAGCAAGCTTTGTGAAACAATATTCCTGCCAGAGTACAGAAGCTGGCATTGCTTGTCCCATGTTGCAAATTACAACGCGCCTGTCTTTTTGATAACTGTATTTGCAGTTGGATTGTGTGCAGCAAGAGCCTTACCAGAAAACAGGACACACATGCACACCATTCTGTCTACAGAGCCTTTCTTTTAGGACTATATTGAGCTGCTTTATGTCAAGACACATAATGGATCCCTCTAGCTTAGTACTGCCTGCTCTGAAAGGTACTGCATCTTTAGGGTTTCAGGACAGAGTCTTTCCCAGGAGACAAGAGGGTCTAATTACACAGAGGGCACTTGCTCTGTCACTGAGGTAATTGCCATTACCTTTTTAAAAAGTGTAATCTATTGTTTATAGGTTGACCTGTAGCACAGTTTCTTTGGGTGGCTCACAAATATATGCAAAATTAAGGTATACCTTAAAGAAGAAAAAATGAGGAGACTATACGAGCAGCACTGAGTTTTTGCCTGAGAGGCCCAGATCAGCGGGTGAAAAGGCTTAGTGAAAAAGCAGAGGTGAATAATTAAAAATAGCTTCACTATTCTGGAAAACCAGGGATGCTATTTGCCACAAAAAAAGGTCGTCTTTGCAGTTGATGTCAACTTTGCCTTACCTGCGAGGGTGTTTGGAGCAGCAATTCTGAACAAGAATGTAAGAACTGAGGACATACATGTTACTAATGTTGATTTTTCAGATAATTCAGTCCCAAGTTGTTCAAGACTTTAAATCAGACCTACAGGAGTGATAGTACTGTACAATGTCCCCCACTATACTTGGATGTAAGAGGCTAAGTTAGCGGTTGCAGGGTAAGCCATGTGGTATGTGCAGTTCTGGTCTCCCAACACCTCACTCCCAGTCCCTATCCCAAATCATCCCCTGCTGGAAGAAGCTGTCTTCTTCGAGCCAGTCCTGGCAGGAAGGCAATGTAGGGTGTGCTTCTCACATTTCCTCATGACACAGACAGTGGGAACTTGTGTTCATTGTGGTTAGAGAGATGAAAGGCCCAGCAACCAATGGTGGACAGAGCGAGGTACATGCACATATCTAAACACACACATAAACAGAAGCAGGCAGGCAAGCATTCATACATACAGAGACCTTTTTTTTAGTAAGGGATTCAAATGGAGTAGGAAGACTGAGGGTTGCCTGAGCTTGTGGAACAGCAGTGCCTCCCATGCTCTATCATATAAACCACTACTGGATACAGAAAGAAATGTTTGCATGTCTCAGTTTTCAAAACAGATATTCATCTCAAATAATACAACAGTTTCTGAAGAATATTTTGATTTTTCCCCCAGTGATCTGTCATGCTTTATCTTAACTTGCTTCTCAAAACAAGGAAATCATAAGGCTTAGAACTGACATGTGAAATTCTATGGTTGTCAAGGAGAAGATTTGCAATGTGACTGAACACTCCAGCCTCTTCAAACTTCAGCTGTCACACTAGCAAAAAAAAAAAGTCTTGTAATGCTTCCAAGATGTATGCAATTTGATTTGATTCAATATGTCAGGGTTTTTTTAAAGATGGCGATTAAATGAATACGCTTCTGATAAGCACGAGTTGACAATTTTATTTATTTTCTGCAAGTAATTTTAAAAAGATTATTTCCTAGGAGTAAAAGATAGAGGTATGAAGGCTTAGAAATCAGAAACAGGATAAGGGAGTGTTCCCTTGTGACAACATATCTGGAGTCCATCTAGGCACTGTGCAACTGCTCTATTAAGTCACCTCAAACGGCTTAAATCAACCTTTCCTAAACTGGTATCCTCCAGATTTATTGGACTAAAATTTCCATCATCCTGACACACCACAGCTATTAATTTGGGAAGTTGATTCTGAGTGTATGCAGATAAAATGGCAACACTAGCTTTGGGGTATTAAAGGCTTCTCTTCCCTTATCTTTAGGCTCCCAAACGCTTCCACCAGGTAAAAAGTAATACCTACTAAACTTTGAGACCTTAAATGTCGGGACAGGAAGAGTATAGTATAGTATAGTATAGTATAGTATAGTATAGTATAGTATAGTATAGTATAGTATAGTATAGTATAGTATAGTATAGTATAGTATAGTATAGTATAGTATAGTATAGTATAGTATAGTACAGTATAGTATAGTATAGTATAGTATAGGATCGGATCGGATCGGATCGGATCGGATGGAGTAAAGTTGCCAGCTGATTACATCATCACTGTTTATACGTACTGTACACATATCTGCCAACAGGATTCCAGGAAATTAATTACCGTGTTCAAACAATTTCAGAATAAAATACAATTAATATAGTTTAAAACCACTTAAACCATTTAAACATCATCATCATCTTAGAACTTATCGTCTTAGGGACCCTAAACAAATCCTGACATATCTGCTGATAAGCAGTCAAAGGATTGTTTAAATAAAAATGTCTTTGCCTGGTAGCAGAAGCACAAGCAAGAGCCTAGCCTCTCTTGGAAGGGAGTCCCAAAGCTTGGGAGTAACCACCAAGAAGGCCTTCATCAAACATGGCTGCGAGGGTGGAGGCACAGAGAGAAAGCCATCTTTTGAGGATTTTAGGACAAGGTCAGGCTCATATAGGGAGTTTCAGTTCTTCAAATAGCTAGGACCCAGGATATGTAGGGCTTTATAGGTCATACCTAACATAGGGGCCAGAAACAACAAATCAGTAAGCAGAGAAGGTGTTGTAACAAAGAATTTCTGTTCTCACTATTTAGACCCGTTGGAGATTCCAAACACTTTCAAAAGGAAGCCTCACAGAAAGCACATTACAATAATCCAAGCAGAGGTACAGTAGCTAAGGCATGTGCTGTTGTGGGCAGATCAGACTTTCTGAGGAACTGGCACAAAGAACACACTAGTCTGAACTATGCTAATGCATCCAATGACTGCTGCCAAAGCCTTGACACTGAGAGTCAGGGCTGGCTGAATCCAGGGGTTTAGCAAAGCTGCAAACCATATTAAATAGCATGAGCGGGGGAACAGAAGAGGGTCTCCAGAGTCCAATGGCCAGGGCATAAAATCCAGCACCATTTTCTGAGCTCAGCCCTCCAGAGGCAGTGCCTCCAAATCCCATCCCATCAAGACGGTCCAGGTGGGCACCATGTGCAGTAATGAAACTCACTGAGCATCAATAGAGCCATACTTCTGCTGTCCAGTTCACAGCATAGCTTACCCATCAAGCTGACCAATGCTCTCTCCGTCCTCTAACTGAGCCCAAAGCCAGACTGAAATGGGTCTATATCAAGAAACCTTGAAGCTAAGATACCAAGTGCTTGCGAAGGAATAGACTACTAGAGACTCAAGGAGGGCTTTTTCAGCAACAGTCTTAGTAATGTGTCCTTTGAGTATGCTGGAAAACTGTCTTGATGAAAAGGAGGCATTGACCGCTCCACTTACCCAAACCAATCAAGTGCCCTCCCCATTCTGCTTTTCTGAGCCAGGAGAGACAAGGATCTAACTAAGACCTCTTTGCCTGGACAGAGCTGAAAAAGAGAGAGTTTTGAAGGAAACAATACCCTGCTGTTGTTCCCTCTGCCACAATGACACAACTGCCTCCACCTTCCATGTCTCCCTCTGCTCATTACAGCTCTATTGGATGCCTCATCTCCCTTTATCTTCTCTTTAGTTTCATATGGCCTTCTGATATCCAGCAGATGATAACCTCTTTGTACCAATGAGTCAGCAGGCACATGTTACATCTTAGCAACCAGGACTTCTCCCTGACCCCTAAATGTCTTCCCCAAAGGGGCAACTCCTTTGACTTCATCACTTTAAGCAGTAACCTGATCCCTGCAGAACTCCCAACTTTATCACAGAGTCCCAGGAAGCAACGTAAGCCTCAGGTGGAAAATTCTGACTCAGGGTCCAGCAGGGAGGTCTTCTGATCAGACTAGAGTCAAGAGGTGGGGGGGCACAACAGGCATCAATAACAAGAAGTTGGAGAGTAAAGCGTCACTTCTCTTATCAGGCAGATAGTTTTTGTTTTGCAAGTGCAAATTCCCACTCCCTACCTTAATTTTATTTCTTTGCGTTTTATAGTAATATGCCAATGTTAAAATATCCCTTACAGTACAAGCAATGTATCTACAGCTTGAAGACATGCACATCAGTGGGCTGTAATGATTAATCACTAAACACAGCTCATCTACTGATTGTACTTGCTATTTGTATGTCACTTCCTTTAAGGAAACTGACATGGTATGTTCCTTTAAACCACTCCCGCCATGCCCAGCCAGCATATCCAGTCTCTGTGCAGCTTGGTAGTTAGGAGGACTTTTGTCAGCATACATGAAAGGCAATAGGTTGAAAAAGTGCTGAATTAAACCAGAAGTGTAACACAATCTTATGCAAATTTATTTGGATGCAAACTTCTGCCTTTAGTGTGAGCCCAAGATCGTAGCATCATTTGCATCCCCACCTCTAATCATGAATAATACAATTACAATTTTATTTTCTTTCATACATCCCTCAGAATGTGTGAAAAATTCTGAGGTAAACACAGAAGTGGTTTACCTCAAAATGTCAAAATTATAGAGAGAGGTATTGATAAGACACATGTTCATTTAAATTCAGCTGACATATAACCAGTTAAATAGCAGATAACTAAAGCATTAAAATTCTATAATCCCTTGATAGGCTTAAACCAGTGAACAGAACTGTTGAGCTGCAGAACTGTGTTCTTCAGTTATTCCAAAACCTTTGAGAAAGTTTGTTACTGATGCTTAAGGAGACACATTAAAATGTCATCTGTGTCTGAAATCAATAGTTTACATACATATTTGGGTTAAAAATGATAGATGAACGTAAAGACGACTAAACTAAATATCAATTCGGTGGTTTTTTTTTTTTTTCTTTTCAACTCACCGGCTCTTGCAGTGCTAAATGTTGGGACCTTTGAGCTGGCTTGCCTTCAAACACATTGTGCTAGGCAGGCAAGCTATTGGCGAATGTTTTCAGTTGCTAAGCAGGTTGCTATAGAAGTAGTGCTAACAGGAGCGTACGTCTGATAGCACTTGCACATGTGTGTGCATGCACACATACACAAATATGAGAATAATAATCAGTAACAGTTGTCTGAGATGCACCTGATTGCCAAAGCTGCTGCAATCAACCAAACACTGAAATAAGAACCATAGGAGTCTTCAGAATGTACTCAGAAAATCAAGCCAAGCAAATATTCAGCATTCCAATACCTTTCTTGATGGAGGAAGGGAGCGGATACTATAAGCTAAATCTTATCAGGCCTTTGTCTGTAGAATAGATCGAATGTATTGCTGAACAGAACTACCATTCATTGCCCACTTGCAGTCTTCTGTGCCAACCAAGCTTGGCCTCTTCTCAGTTCTGCTGGATTCCATTTTTCTATCAGCAGATCCATTGCTGGAAGCTGCCCAATATATTCAGCTCTACCTATTAGCCTCATTTTTTTCCCCATACAGTAGGATAGGCCCCAAACAGTTGTGCTGGTTGCCACTTCCTGGTGGCAGTGAAGCATTTTTATTTTGAAGAAGGAGTTCTCTGATATTTTTGTTCATGAAATCAAGTACATAATTGGCCAATGTGACTCTTAACTCTTAACCATGTCTGTGACTGGCCTGGCATCCTGCATCTTCCCCTCGATCACTAGTGCTTGGTATAGGATTGAATGCAGACAACAGAACAAAATCACTCCGGAGCCATCAGTACATCCTGTGCTGCTGCCTGAACACTTCAGTATTGAAATAGGAACATGGAAAGCACCCCAGGACTTCCTTGTTAGATAGAGTACTCTCAACCACCCACCAGTAATTGTTTTTTTTAAAATAAACTTTTTTTTAACAAAAGCTGCAACATGTTTCAGGCCCACACAGCTTGTTACCCACCAAGCAGAAGAAATGTACAGGAGTCCATCATTTTGTGTATGAATACATTTTCCCATGAATACTGTTTTTTGGCAGAATACTGTACTTCCTTCTAGCACTGTTTTCCTACAATTCTGCCATTTTTAGAGCATCAAAGGTCCGTCAGACAGTGGTTATTTTCACAGCAACATCTGAAGGACCCTGGAGACATGCTGAGTTTCTTACTTACATCACAGAAATGTTCATATTTCTGGCCAAGTCACTGGACATAACAGAAGGTGACAAAGAACCTCCCTTTCCCCCTTCCTATCCACTCCTACAAATGGCCATAGCTTATTATCAGTGATGGCACTGAAGCAGCAATCATCTGAACCCACTAACCTGTCAAAAGTGAGCTTAGTAGACCTCACTTCTGGTAGGCAGATTTGGGATTAGATTGTTAAGTATCTTTCCTTCAATTTTAGTACATATAAAGATCACTGTGCCTCAAACTAGGGCATAGTTTTAGTTCTTAAATAAAATTATGTGCATACAGCTAATAAAGGCTGACATTTCCAAAGTTAGAGCTGTCCACTAGCCTTTCCCCAAATGGGTTGAAGATCTTGGATAACAAATGTCAGGTGGAGTTAATACCCAGAGTGGATTTACAGCACCCCTGAAACTGAAGTCCCCAACCATCAATGGGACTGAATCCTGTATGTCATCCATAACATAAAGTTACGCAGGTGTAACTCTTCTGGGTGTTATGCCCAGCCAACAAGGATTTCACTAGTTGGCTGCACAATCCTTAATGTAGTTCCTGTTGTGACTGCTTATGCAATGCACCTGCAGAAGTGTTTCATGAATGGCACTTCCACCTCCGCACTGTCACATCAATTACGCAAGAGTATCTTTGATGTGTATCCCACTTACTATTATTTAAATTCTAGACCAACAGCCAACAACTTTATTAACTGTCTGAATTTTAAGATTAAATGTTAAAAAAATGTTACAATTCTCAAAGAACTGAATTTTTTAACCCCTTTATTAAAATATACTATATTTAAAACATTCAACTTGAGGCCATTTTCCCTGTCTTTTTGGAAATATTATCTACATATTATTGGTCAGATTTAGGAATCTCTTCAGCCTTTAAAAATTATTTCTATCATGTGAAACATCTACCTGTGTCAACAAAATTCATCTGACAGTCACAAGTAGTAAAATATAATATTAATAATAATTGGGTGCTATCAAGTCATCTCTGACTTATGGCAACCCTTTCCAGGGTTTTCAAGGTACAGAATACACAGATTTACCATTCCCTTCTTCTGGGGGCTTCCTGGGACCGTGCAGCTTGCCCAAGGCTACACGGGCTGCCTCTTATCACAGGAGGCACAGTGAGGAATCAAACTCCCAATCTCTGGCTCCACAGCCAGAAACCATCTTGCAACTCCATTTGATCTTTATACATAGGATACCTATGGATTTTCCAGATATGCTTACATTTGTCCTGGAATTAACTATGATGTCATTGGAACCTGGTCATTTTGAGTGCCATATTGGGAGGACTTGTGAGCTTCTCTGCTATCGTCCTCTGACAGCACAAACTGGAGATACTTGATGTACTTAATTGCAGCACGGAGTGTTTCAACTTTGCTCAGCCGTTTCTCCAGAAATTCAGCAGGAAGGTGATGCCTGAGCTTGGCATACCCTTCATTGACACACTTAACCCTCTGCCTTTCTCTTTCATTTCTTTTTCTGATGAATGCTGGGCTACAAGAGTACTCATATCTACCACAGGGGGCTTGAAACAGGAAGCTATAAGGATTGTCATAGAAATGTTCAGCAGTCACTGGCTCTGCTGTAAATGGAACCAGAGGTAAATCTTCCAGGCCAGCAAACTGATTCAGGGCATCTGGGCATGAATGAAATGTTGCAAAAGGGTCTATAGAGCAAAATTTAGACATCTGTCCAACATGGGAGTCACTGAAGACTGGCAGACTGTCCATGGCATTACAGAAGCTTGTCTTAGCCATCTTGTCTTCCATAGAAACCTGAAAAATAGAAATACAGTATGTATCAATTAATGATTCGTGCATTTTGACTGTCAGCCTTTTTTTTAGTGCATGGTTGATATTACGGAAATACGTAGCAGACTGTGATAATATGGCCCTGGCTTATTTAAATACTGTACATTGTTCCATATATAAAGGGCAAGTTTTAAAGTATCTAAAATGTATGCTAGCTGTTTGCCAGAAGATTAGTATCTTCTTTTGTCCTTTAGCTGGACTCTCAAATCATATGATGAGCCTTCCTAGATGAATACCAGCCATTTTACAGGGCAGATATAAACTTTTCCACTGCTCCTCTTTTCCAAGTCTTCTCTATATCTCTATCATGTGTACCTCACTCTTCCCATCTCTTATGATAGTGATTCGATTGTCAAAACCTCCGGGATGCATTGTTGGGGAAACATTTAGCGTCAATTTTAATATTCTTACTGGTACCAGTGGGACTAAAATGTTTTTCATCTTGACTGGAGTGTCCTTATGTCTTTTAATAGACACATCTTTTTCAGGCAGTGCCTGATGAAATATTTCCTCCTAATTCAAAACTTGTAAAGTCTTCCAACCAAAATAAGCTGCACCGTAACAGAGGACATGGTATCTGTTAGGTATCTTTTACTCTTTGGGACAGCAAATCAGGAAGCAGACATTGAGGGATAAGAACAGCAATCCTCTGGCTACTCCTTTTGAGTTTCCCTGTTCATAACTATTTGGTAAAGAAAAGAGCTGTGGTTCCTACAGTTCTCCAGTGTGTCAGAGAACATTATTAAATTGTCAATATTCAACTGGCTTCTATATTTGGAATGGGGGACAAGGCACCATCGTTTCCTGTTTTAGTCAGCAAAAAGAGTTGGACCAGCAGTGCATTTTACTCTATAACCACAAAGACCCAATCACACCCACTCAGTCAGGAAAAAGCCCCTCTAAAATGAGGCAGGGGCCAACCAATGAGTCTTTATAATATATAAGGATGTAAGCTAGTTCCATGTTCTTTATGTTTGGCAGATCCTACCAGGTTCTTTCACCACTAATATTCAACAAATATCTCTCCTCAATTAAAAAAAATTATCAAGTTGTGTAATGGGATATAAGAAGATGGGCTAAAGAGCAAGGCCATTTTTAAAGGGAGCATTCTTACTTAAGTAGGCAGTAGATTCACTAAGTAGTCTGGCTGCCTAAAATAAAAACAGGTCAAAATGTGAAAGAATAATAAACTATTTAAAGCATTGTTTTAAATAAAAAAGCAACTGTCGTTAAACAGAAGTTTCCAGGAATTCAGAGCAATAGCTACAACTCACCAAAACTTCAAATGAACTAGTAACTCTCTAAACGGAAAATGGTTTGCTTACAAATGATCAAAGTAAGTTCTCTTTTTTGAGAAATGGCTATGAAACACTGCATTCATCATAATCAAATTACTTTAATTTTAAAGTAATATCTACTAACCCCTCACCAAAGACAAATCAAAAGACATAAAACAAAAGAATGTTATTAATACCCAGGCTCTCATATGAAGAACTTCCAAAAGAACCGGGGAAAATCTAAAATCTTAGAGAAGGAACTGAGCACCGAAGAACCACATTCGGATGAAATATTTTCAAACGTTAGTATGTATAGCACAATTTTCCCTACAAATTAGCCTTTGTTCAGAACAGTGTCCACAAAATATTTATTAAACACATGTGATCCTTAATAATATAATAATGTTAATAACAGCTATGTAAGATTTTGCTATCAGTCTGTATCTCTGTTTCTTACCTGAATTTCACGGTTCTTGTGTCTGTTGGACTGAGTCAAAACCAGATCTAAATTTATAGTCAATTGACAATATGCAAAGTAGCTTACAGTAAGGTCTGCCCTTTTTTTTCTGGTTCAGCTTCTTCCACCCACACTGTAGCTATGAAGACAAAAGAAAAGAAAAATACAGTCATGGAACAAAAAGAGCAATGTATCTGATGTTTTTTAATGGATAAGTTCTATTCAGCAGTATGTTTATATTCCTCCTAGATATGCATTGTGACAACATGCTGATTTTTATGAGATCGGTCTTCATTCTTTAAACTGCAGAACTTTCTAGATCTTTTTTCTTTTTTCCATATATACAGTATGTTAAATACACAAACTGCATCAAATTTAAACCAGTCTACATACAGCATATATACAGTATGTTAAATACACAAACTACATCAAATTTAAACCAGTCTACATATATAGTTACAATAAATGTCTTAAATTCTGTGAATATTAACTCTTACTAGTTGAACTCCTAGGTAGCTCAGTGGTTTAGGTATTTGGCTATGAAATTCAATTCCACACTGTGCCTCCTTGATAGGGGCTGGATTTGATGACTCATAGGGTCCCTTTCAGCTCTGCAGTTCTATTATGATTATGATTATGATTACACCAGGCACAGTCAAAATTATAAAAAACATTGACTGGTATTATATAACAGATACAAGTTTTCTCCAACAACTTAAGTATCTTATACATTGACTGGTATTATATAACAGATAAAGGTTTTCTCCAACAACTTAAGTATCTGTTATATATTGACGCAGTATGTATGCTGTTCCTAATATTGTTCTTTTTTGTAGCTCTGATGGTGTGATTTCTGAGACCTGCAACTGCTTATAGTACTGTGTGAAATTTCTTAATATTGTTCCCAAAGCCCCAATGACTGGATCACTGAAGTGTGTTTCTTCCAGAGGCAAGATGTTTCGATTGTTAGGTCTCTGTACTTGTTTAGTTTTTCTAATTCTTTATTTTCAACTCTGGTATCCCCTAGAATTGAAATGTCTGTTATTGTTGTCATTGCTGCTGTTTTCATTGTCATCTTTACAATTTTATAAGGGCAGTGTCACAAAATGAGAACTTTTCAAGAAATCTCCAGGCTTGCTGAACATCCAGTTATCAGATATTTCACAATGCCAAATATTTTATATACTTTTTATTTAGTGATACACATTACAATGTGTGTAAATACATGGCTACACACCCCACACTGCTTTAAAAAGAGAAACAATGGAGTAGTGGAAGGACAGTCCTTCTCTGCAAGTTTCTCCTCAGTGATGGAAAAGTAGGGAGGTGCAAGGACCTCTCAACCTGTTCTGCATCCAAATATTTATTGTATAGCAAAGAACCAACCTGTTTCAAGCTTTTTTTTACGAGTGGCCTGAACCAATTTATTCTTCAGTTTGTGTGGCCATTTTCAGAGCAGTGTTTTTGGTTAGGGGTGGTGGTGGGTTTTTAAAATTATTATTATTATTACTCATACATACAAAGCATACAGAATGACAAAATAAGACCTGACAAAAATAACACAAATAACAAAAGACAGCAAAGCTAAACATCCTTACTACATATATGAGGGGGTGCTGATATTGAGCCTTTCCCAGAAAAAATTGAGCTAAGAAGCTGTAACTGCCACACTATTCTACATATTCCCCCAGGAAGTCAATGCACTTGCAACATATGCCCTGCAGCTTCTTAATTCCCTGCAAATAAAATTCTTCTGACTGCTGGTATAACCACTCATTTGCAGCATTAGTTGCCTCCAGAACACTCCCAAATCATTGTCCATTTAGGTGTGTTTGAGTTTGAGGAACAGATGATAGTCAGAAGGAGCCAGGTGAAGAGAATAGGGTGGATGGGGCATCACTTGAAAGCCTAAGGAGGTCAGTTTTGCCATTGTTTCACCTGCAGTGTGTGACAAGACATTGTCATGCAACAGGATGACACATTTGGAGAGCTTTCCTCAACCTTTTTCCTTGATTTTTTGCCTCAACTTCGTCAATAAAGCACAGTAATATTTTGCATTGATGGTTGAACCCTGTTGGAGGTAGTCCACCAGCAGAACTCCCTTCTTATCCCAAAAAACTGTTGCCATTTGCCTCTGCACTAACCTTGGCACTCGGAACTTCTTTGGCCTGGGGGAACCACTGTGCCTCCATTCCTTAGACTGTTCCTTTGTCTCAGGATCATAACAGTGGATCCATGTCTCATCACCAGTTACCAGTTTACCCTGGAAATCTGACTCATTTCTTGCAAAATGTTACAGAACAGCCACCGATGACTCCACATGTTCCCTCTTTTTTTCGGTTGTCAGAAGTCTGGGGATCGACTTTGCTGCCAGCTTTCTCATTTCCAGGTTGTTGTGGATAATGGCACCAACTCTCTCATGTGATATTCATGTAGCAATACTTTTGGCTGATATTCGGC